ATGCTCCCAGTAAGGGGGACCAGGATAGAAAATGTGACCTGAGATAGAAAGAGAATAAAACAATCCCTGAGGACAATTGTCCTCGGTCTTCAGAGGTGCTGTGCCAAGAGTGGAGCTGCAGCATCCAGTATTTGTGTAAGGAGGCAAATGACACTGTGAACATCTGTGGGCTGGGATTTGCTCTTATTGTTTCTTTTTGTCCTGGGCAGAGCCAGTGTTGAGCAGAGACCTTTGGCTTTTAATTGAAAAGGAAGAAAAATACTGCTCTGTTCTCCAGGCAATAAAGCCAGCCCTTTGCAGGAGTGAAAAGGTTTGCATCTTTCAGTGCTCACAGGAGCTCACTGCACAGGCTGGAACTGATCCCAGTGGAGCTTTTCCTTTTGCACAGCCCTACCTTCTCTGTGAAAATTCTTCTTCATTTAACAAACAAACATTAAAACCCTTTAGCTGAGGATAAATGAAAGCCAAATTATTGGACTGCAAAACAAACCCAAGATGTGTGTCATAGCTCCAGTCTATCATTATCCTTTACATAGCTGTTTATGCAAATGCAACATTTTCATGGCTGTAAACCCTTCTCTGTTACATGAATAAAATATTGATCTCCCACTAACCACACTGGTGAAATGAAGCATTCTTTTGCCAACTCCTCTTCAAAAGGAAGGTTTCCTTTCAGGATCCCGACCTCCAAGTCAAATGTTGATTGAGATGTGAGGAAATGTACACTTATTCCTCTGTTAATTACACTTGGGTTTTATTACAGTTTGTTTTGTACCAGGGAGTGGCAGCTAAAGCTCCTTTTCTGTTATATTTGCCTGTTTCTGGTTGATTTGCAGGTTGGTGGGTTGGTTTCTTTTTCTTACAAGTGCAAAGAACTTTCAAACAGTCACAGCATGCTGAAACATTCTGATTTTCCAAATCAGACAGTTGACTCTCCTTCCCTGCCAGACACACGAACTTACCGGAGATGAGATGCAGACAAAATCTACTTTTTCCTTGCCAGAACTGCCCAGTTCCTTGGAAGATTGGAATAAATTTTCATGAGGACAGCTTTCAGCACTTCTTTCTGGGCAGACACTAAGTTCAGGCTTCCATGGACACCCTCCTCACCCCCTCCTCCTGCAGGTCACCCCCTGAGCACAGCCACGCACAGCACCAGCAGACAGTGCCCAAATCACAGTGGCACGTCCAGGCTCAGCTCCCACAGAGGCTGGGATGGGTTTTTAGCTTCAATTCGCCCTCTCGTGGATTCACCTGTCCACAGGCTCTTAAGAACAGAAGCTGTGGCTGCCCTGGATCCCTGGCAGTGCCCAGGGCCAGGCTGGAGGGGGCTTGGAGCAGCCTGGGACAGTGGGAGGTGTCCCAGCCCCTGGGACTAGATGGTCTTTAGGGTCCCTTCCAACCCAAATCATTGTCTAATTCCATGAAAAATACCTATTTTTCCTGGAGGACTGCAGCTGTGGGGTCAGCCCCAAGGGCTGCTGCTTCTCTCTCATCTTTCAGGGATTTTGGGAAAGGGGCTGTCCAGGCAGACACAGCAAATCCTGCAGTCACTGCAGGGACACATCCTGAATCACAATCAATAACACCCCATAAATGTAACCTCTGAATTGGGAAAGGGGCTGTCCAGGCAGACACAGCAAATCCTGCAGTCATTGCATGGATACAGCCAATCAATAACACCCCACAAATCAATAACACCCCACAAATGTACCCTCTGTGGAGGGGTGCTCTGCACCATTCGCTCCATTTCAGAGGGGAAAGGAAGATTACACTGCACTGCTGCTACCACAGTTCATCTCCCTCAAATATCCACATGGCAAACTTTCTGAAAATCACTGTGGTCTCTGCATAAACACTGAACAGAAAAGGAATGAACAGAAAAAAATATTTAATTTTCTTCTCCGGCATGTTATGCAGCATTTTCAAGCTCCTAAATTGAATTCTTTACCACATTAAGTAAATTTGACTCGTATGCTTTAGCTCTGACTCATTTTCCTTCTAATCAGTTGCTAATTATTACCCACTTCCTCAGAAAGTTTATGGGGACAGATGCTGCAGTGCCATGACTACTAAACAAAACCCTGAAAATTGGAGGAAAACTTCCCAACAGATGTAGATAGGTTAAATTGATGTTTCTTTCTTTACTTTCTCTGCCCAAATAGTCAATTTACATATGCACTGGTTTTAGCAGTAGTTTTATGCAATAAACAATCCTTAACTGATCTAGTTATTGCATATTTACAGAGGAATGGTACAAAGAGGTTGAACTGGATTAAATCCTGGGGCCAGTGTCCAGCTCTGTCTTCCCTGCCAGCATCTTGCACAAGAGATGGGGTTTGGGGGGACCTGAAAAGGACTCACAGTGACCTACCATCACACAAAACTGAATTCTCACTGCTCTCATCGTTCACTGCTCTGGGTGGGTGACTTCTGCCTTTATCACTTCTGTTTTCCCTGGGTATTTGCAGCTGCAGTTTAATCAGTTCAATAGATAAATCAGTACAGTTAAGTTCTGCAGTACTTTTCTGACATACAATAAGAACCTGTCTATAATCTAATCATGCCTTACGTCCCTCTCACCATAATTTGGAAAGATGTGGTTTTAAAAATATCCTCAGCTACCTTAACATGAATACAAAATAGTTCTAGGTAAAGAGAGGGAAAATAAAAGAAATAAATAAATCCTCTAGCAATGAAATGACAGGATTTTACTTCTTGGCATCTAAGCCACAGAAACCAGACAATTGTTAGTCATGACCATTTTTTATAGCTCAAGACCTTTCCTGTATGGAATAAGTGAACTTGCATTTCGAAACTACCTCCAAGTGCAGCACACGTAGCCATCTACTCAGCATCACACAGCAACTCCAGTTTCCATTTCAGATGCTCCAAAATACTGAAAATCCAGCCAGAATGTCCAATTTCCCTGATTTGGCATCCAACACTTATAAAACTTCCAGGAAACTGATATTTAAACAAACTGTGCCAAAGGTATTCTGTACAAAGTATTTTCAAGTGCACTTTGGAAAGAACTGTCTGCTGAAATAACAAAGAATAGAAACCATTCCAAATCTGTAACCCCACAATACATCAAAAATACATGGTAATCAATTGTATTTAAAGAAAAACTTTGCTTCCACGTCTCTGCTTATCAGTAATCTTAGTTCAAATACTCAAAAATCATTTGGAGAATACTTTGATTGTAAGAAACCATCTGGGTAGCTGCATGGTTGGATACAAGGAAAGTAAATTCTAAATATTCATCCTTATGATATTCATGTGGTTACCAATATCCACTGCACAGAAATTAATTACAAATTAAGAAAAGGTAATTCAGAAAACCACTTTCAAAGTGAATGGCTGCGATATGAGACCATCTCACATCCCACTGGATGGAGCTCAGGGCAAGAATTCTGGTCAAATATTTCACTAATCCCAGTGACCCAGGGAAATCATTTACAGAATTTCATTTGCTTCTTTCCTAATGCCCACACAAAGAAAATTAATGAGTTTGCATATTAAGAGGCCACAACAACAAGCAACAGCAACAAAGAGAATCAATCAGCTCTGCAAATTGTGCAAGCGCTTGTTTTGAAATAAAGAGGCAGATGAAAAATAACTTTGGTTTTAAATACAATTTCCTGGCTTTGAGGCTTTAGTTTAATTTTTGCTAGTTGTGGTAGGTGGAGTACTAGAGAAGGCAGGTGATTTTTAAACTCATTTTTGCTGAGAGCTGTGTATCACCACTCTGTGCTACACAGGGCACAAACAGATTGCAAAACATATCACCACTTCACCAGCAAGCTGGAACATTAATCAACATCAGCAGGATGAACTTGCAGTGCAAAGATGCTACAAAACACTTCTGCAAGATCATGCCTTGAGTTTTGGGGGCTGGAAAGGATTGCAGCCTGGCAGTGCTTGGCACTGCAGTGTTTTGGCAGATTTTCACACATGTGATTTTCCACAGCCCAGGCACAAGGTGGTAATGAGGTGTTCCATCCTGCCAGGAGTCAATACTGCACTGAAAGGCACACTGCAATAATTAATGCTACACAGTCTGCACATTTACAGTGATCCAGGTGAGCGAGGGCAGGCACTGGCAGCTGGGGATACAGAGGCCCCTCAAACTGGGATAAACTGAACCAGAGCTGGAACACAGCTGGGAGGAGAAGGAGCACTGTCAGGAATCCAGCTCTCGAGGATTTATTGCTGCATTTGGGTAGAATACAGCCCTTTCTTTAAAAATCATAACCTGCCAGCTACCCAGCTGGAGAGGTTTACTAAAACATTCTTTTTCCAAAAGAAGAGCCTGTTGAGGAATGAGAGTCACCAAAACTTGTCTACAGCCCTTGGATTTATTCTCTGAAATACATGTTACAACAGAGCAAAGAAAAGGCTGCTTAGCCTAATATTCACCCAATGTAATTACCTTGTAATTAGGTGTAGCAGATTGTTCTCCTTCACAGCAAGACAAACCCACTCACCACCCCCAAGCTTCAAGGGCATCAATAAACATATGTATGAAGATTAATGCCCATTAGAGGAATGCCCAATTTCCCAGAGAAAAAAACAGGTCCATATACACACCAGCACTCCAGATTTGGATAAACCAGGCCTGTTTTAAAGAGCTTAAGGCCAGGTCTAAATGGTTACAGACACCCTGATATCTGAACCAGAATGGTATGAGATCTGTGATCCACCATGTGGCAATCTCTACAGTGGGCAAACAGATTCCAGGCATTGGTGGAGCAGTAATTAAAACAGTAAGGAAATGCATCAACATCTGGAAGACATAGGCAATATGACAAATTCAACCCAGCCTTGCTGAGGGGAACAGATGCACAAAAGCACAAACACAAGGAACATACTGAAAAAATAAGTAATGTGATTAAATGATGATTAAAAGGAGACCACCAGGACATCTTCCCAGGCAGATGTGCCATGCAAAGAAAACCACTCCGTAAGGGGAAGCAAAATGAGTCACTCACAAGAAGTACTGTTGAATTCTTTTAATAACACTAGGAAAATATCATAGTATTAAAGTCCTGCACGGGATCCTTGGGAGGTTATTTGGGTTGGGATTCCTTTTGTGTTTATAAACCAAACTTTATTTCCCAATTGTGTCTTCTTTTAGGCTGACTACTCCTTTACAATGGCATTTCCAGTTAAAACACAGCTAACCTATAAATACCTGAATGCCACAGCACACATTGTGTGCGTGGGTTTTGTTTTGTTTAAGTCTTAGAGGAAATGACAGGAAATCTACTCAACACAGGGAAGCAAACGTCGATTCGTTAAGCGGGGGATGTAAAAGCCAGTAAAGAATACATTGCATACATAATACAGAAGGAAAAAAAATTATCATCTGGAGTATGTGAAATTACACTGATTTTGCACCTTAAACCTAGTAGAAGTTACTCTGTTGGCCAATACTAATCCACTGAACAAGCAGAATGTTGGTCAGAAGTCTAACGTTTTCCTGTACCAGCACAGAGAGAATATAAGCAGTCCATTGCTGTTAAAAGAAAACATGAAATCCAGCTCATGTTTCTGGTTAGGGGTCGATTTCCTCGGGAACTATTGTTAACATCACATCTTCGTTGCCCCTGCGCACGACCATGTGCAACGTACTGTCCTTTTTAATAATGTCACTGACATCACTGGCTGAGCTTATCGACTGTCCATTGATGCTTATAATCACATCGTTGTCCTTCAGGCCACCACTGGAAACACAAAGCAGCAATGTGTTATTATAATTGCAGTTTTACTATTAGGGGGGGAGAAAAAAAGAGCGCTGGATTATTTCTATTTCCCACCCAACAGCAGCTGTGCAGACATGGCAGCCATGAGGAAAGCAATCAGAATTTAGGAAGCAGTGAAGGTTACAATAAAGTGCAGAAACCTCGGGATCTGATGGATGTACAGGTTTGATGAATCCCATATTTGACTGCATTCAAAGGAATTCGCTGTTACAAATGGCAGTTAATTCTGCAATAAAGATCCTAGGTGTTGATATCTGTCTTCTAAAATAATTGCAACAAAGCAGATTCATTTTAGAGGGGAGATTTTCCAAGCTTTTGTTCCTGAATACATAGAAGCAACCTGAAGCATAGAGAAGCAACCTGAGTGGCACTGTGTGCTAACAAGCAGTTCCAGCCCCTGTTCTGCATACAGGTTACTGGCAGCCACTTCACCCACCCTTCATGTTTTAAACCTGAGCAAAGTAACACATGTTAGTGTGTTACATCTTGTTTGGTCACCAAAAATCAAATGTGTCCTTCCTCTGCTGCTCATAGCAGCCAAAATCCATTTTTCTGACCTCAAAATCTGAACCTTTCTGATTCAAAGCAAGACAGGGCAGAAGCAGGGCTGTGTCTCTCCCCAGGCTGGCTGGAGCTGCTGCCAGCACCAAGAAATGGCTGGTGAGGGATGCCACAGACCACAACATCTTGCCCAGTCTTGCACAACGATCTGGCTCCAAGTTATGGAAAAATTACCCGAGACAGATCAGACATGATTCAACCCTTCACAAGCATAATCCTTCACAAAACCACAGACCACTCATCGGCCTCTTCCACCCACAGAAGGCGCCTGACACGAGTGTCTCCTGCAAGCAGGGTGCCCTTGGCCAATGTTTGCAACAAATCTGGTTGCCTACAGAAGGCATGGCTCAAAATGTGTCTGTGGAGGAAGTCAGGAAGTCATTGCATGGTTTTTCATGCAGCCTCTGCATGTGGCTCACAGGACAGGTCACTGCAGCTCTGCACATCCACAAAAGTGCTGGACAGATCAGCAGAAGGAAACCCTTGAGGCAGGGACTGGGAGTGGGGGAGAGCCAACATGGGCTGCATTTTGACTGCCAGGCCAGCCTTTGGATGGAGCACCTTGGTTTGGGTCTTCCTTCACGTTAGGTTATATTGCCTCATTTCTTCTCCCTCACAAAATCCCTCTCCCACTCTCTGCTATCACCCACACTCCTAAATGACTGTTCTGCACCTTCAGACTGAACCTGAACACCAAGGCAGCAATTCCAGCCCTACACTGAAGCAGCCCAATCATTCCTGCACATTCCCTCACACTGCAGACACTCAGCAGTGCTCTGCCTGACAAGCACTGCCAACAGGGATCATCTACAAACACAGCAGCAGTTCAGAGAGCACGCTGGACAGCTATCACCCTTTATCTTACACCCAAACTGCCTAAAAACACACCATCCAACCATCCTTGCAGTCTTCCCAAAAGGCAATGTATGCCTGCCCCAAGCAGCTTTCTGCCTACATCCCTTTGGTGCCACATAAACCTCTTTATTGCCACTAAGATTTACTCCTCTCTCAAATGGTCCCTAGCTTCAGAAAATGAATAAGGTTTCCCATTTCCTGCCCTGGATTACTGAGCAGTTTCCTATCAGGCAAACCCTGAGAGAAAAGTGTCTCCAGCAAAAGCCAGCCAGTGACCACAGCCCAGCTGCCAGGCTTCAGCCAGACGTGGTACCAACCAGCAGGGCCAGCTTCTGAGCAAATACTGAGTAATAGGAGCAAAAAAAGTCAGTTGTCCAAATCCAAAAGCTCTTCCAGTAATGTGACTGCTGACAAAGCTCTCACATGGAAGAGTCTCTGCTGCCAAGAGAGGATTTCAGCCCCACGGTGTGCCAGGGGAGCTGGGTTTGGCCAGTGCTGAGATGGACATTTCTTCCAAAGTGGACCCAAAAGCTTCTCACTTGCTCTCCTGCAGTGACCAGCAGGGCCATGGAGAGTGTGCATGAACAAAAGTCTTTATTCAGCACTGGCACTGGTACAGCAGATGCCTTGGAAGCAACTGCTGAGAAAAACGAAAAAGGAGTTTTCACACCCCCTGAATCCCTTCCCTTTGGGCCTGGAAGGCTGACAGGGCTTCCCTGCAATACCCTGATACAGTTACAGTATTGCCCATCAGGGACCAGAATGAAACCACAAACCCATTTCCAGCAGACAACCTAACAGCAATCAGATGGTCACAGCCTTGTTAATTTAGCCTAATGAAGAAAGCCAGTTAAGCAGGAAAAGTCTCCATCGTTACCCCCTTAAGTCAGTGGCAGTGGTTTTGAGAAAAAAGCACTTCAACCTACGCTTCAGCTGGTGTTTCTGGAATGACTTCAATGACATAGGCCCCAGAGACAACATCAGGGAAGTCTTTATGGCGATCCTTCAGCTCTCTAGCTTTGCTGAAAAATGAAGAAATAGCAAAGAAAATATTTTGTCAAGACAGGAAAAAAACCCCCACGCATTTTGCTGAAGTCACTTAACACAAGTTGAGGTGTTTTACACACACTGGTATGTCACCTCAGCATTCATTTTAACCCTTAGATGTGTATTTCAGGAATTATTACATTTTTTTGCATGCATACAGCTTTTTAATGTCTATTTCTGGTAAAGGCAACCATTTCAACAGACACAGACAATCAGAGTTCAAACATTTCAAAGCTTTAGAATGAATGTGCAGATTGTTGAATCACAAAATGGTTTGGGCTGGAAGGGACCTTAAACCCCATCCAGTCCCCATGCCTACCATGGCAGGGACACCTTCCACTATCCCAGGGTGCTCCAAGCCCCATCCACCCTGGCCTTGGGAACTTCCAGAGATCCAGGGGCAGCCACAGCTGCTCTGGGCACCCTGTGCCAGGGCCTGCCCACCTTCACAGGGAAGATTTTTTCCCTAATATCTCATCTAAACCCACTCTCTGTTTGCAGCCATTCCCCCTTGTCCTTTGTAAATACTCCCTGCCCATCTTTCTTTCAGGCTCCTTTCAGGTACTGAAAGGTCACAATTAGGTAAAGCCCAAAGCTTCTCTACTCCAGGCTGAACAATCCCAATTCTCTCAGCCTTTCCTCATGGGAGAGGTGCTCAACCCCTCTGATCATCTCTGGGACCTCCTCTGGACTGGCTCCAACAGGTCCATGACCTTCCTGTGCTGGGGACCCCATAGCTGGATGCAGAACTCCAGGTGGGGTCTCCTCAGAGCAGATTAGAGGGACAGAATCACCTCCTGCAATCCTGAACACCTAAAAAACCCCAACCCCTTGTGTTTCAATGCTCTGCTCTACCTGTGGTTCCTGCCCAAGGGAAAACTCCTGGTTATTTTTACAGGACATGGCATTACCTGCTCATGAGTCTCCTGTAGTCTGAGCATGAATAAGCAAGTCCACACAAAAGCTTCATTTGACATTAAGTGAATTGTTTAATGAAAATAACTTTATAGGAATGGAAGAACGCACGTAGCTGACGTAAGCCATGAAATCATACAACAACGTGGATATAACCCAGGACAGAGCCACAGGCACTAGCTACTCTCTTCTGAAGCATTAAGGAGAAGAAAAAGCCAGGAGCTGTTTAAGAACTAGCTCATAGGAGAGTCTAGAGGAGAGTCCCACCAGGTGGCAGATGCAGAGGAGAAGGTGGCCAGGGCTGGCTGGGTTTGTCACCAGGGCTGGCTGGGTTTGTCACCAGCACGCACAGAGACCCTCGGTGCTGGCTCCAACCTCCCGGGCGCTGCTGCACGTCCCCAGCTGGATCCAAATGCATGCAGAGACCACGCTGGGGAAGGGTCAGGAGCCACCCTGGTTACTTACCTGGGGCTTAGGGACATCATGCGTATGCCAATGTATTTCTTTTTGGTTACAGCTTTTCCTGCAAAAAGGAAAACGAGTCATGATCAGTTGTTCTGACCTAAAGAGCCTCACAGGCTGCTAGCTTTCAAAACTTTATCTTTCACTTGTTCAGACTTTTGATATTTATATATTTTTTTCTATTTTTTACTTGCTTGATGGTAGCACACATTTTATAGTTATGGATAACTTGAGGAATACCGTTTATGGTTAAATTTACTTTTTGGTTTTGTGTTTATTTATAGGTGACATTTTTATTTTGATCATCTGAGGTTTAGGAATAATTTTTGAGGTTTGATCATCTGAGTTAGGAATAATTTTTTTTATGTTTTTAATTTAGGTCTATTTTTGACAGTCTTATTTTTGCAGCTTGGTTTATTTGCTTATTGTTTTGGTGCTTGTCATTGGTTGTATTTTTGGAGATATGAGCATTTATATGGCAGACTTTTACAAGTAGTTTTTTTATTTTTTATTTTATTTTTTTTTTATTTTAGCAATGTTCTTTTACTCTTCAGCAGCTTAAATTGTTTTGGGGTTTTTTTTTTACATTGCCAGTCAGCTTTTTTTTACTTTCTTAGCCATTCTTACAGAGTGTTGGCTACTATTTATGAATTAGTGTAGAGGCAGAGTTTTGGCTACTTTTTTTTTTTTTTAATCTTAATGCCAGCCAGGCTGCTGACTTTCTGGTTTATCACTGTTTTCACAGAATGGTTTGTGTTGGAAGGAACCTTAAAGGTCACTTATTTCCAACCCCCTGCCATGGGCAGTGATGCCACCCACTAGACCAGGTTATTTTCTGGTTTTCCTCTTCCCAAGTACAGTACCTTTAGCTTGTCTGTCATGGGATTCAGTTAGGAACTTCTTTATTTTATCGGATGGGATAGCAAATGAGATGCCTGCTGTAACTTTTAATGTGTTGATTCCAATGACTTCACCATCCTGGAGGAAAAAAAAAATAAAAAAGCCTTATTAGCAAATATGGAGCACCTCAAAGAGGAATGGATTATTTCTTCCAAGCAGTCACAAAGACAAATTCACATTTTGTAGCTGGTCTTCTATTTTCTATGTTTTAAGGATAATGTTTTGAGTCTATTGATAAAACACTACTTAGGAATTTTGGAAAATCAATGTGATCATTCATCTTGATGCAGAAGAGATCCAAACTGGGCATTTCTCATGCTTGCAGCAGATGAGCAACACATTCTGCAGCTATTCTGTGTTTATTTCAGCATGGCACCGACTGCTCCTGAGCCACTATTACATAATAACATAAAGAAAAATACAGTTTGCCAAAATCAAAAGTTTTCCTGGCAGTATAACTCCAAGAGCTTTGGATGAAACATCTCTGATGTCATCTCTTTTGAAACCTCAGCAGTTTCATTCTCTGGTTCATTCCAGACAAAAACTGTCTAACTACAGGTGTTTTTAAGTGAAGATTAAGTGTGACTGAATGTGTGCTGTGAATTGGGTGGGAAAAAAAAAATTGCCAAATCTCCTCCAAGGCAGAAACTCTGAGTAGTTCTGAGTTTCAGTCTGTGCCATGCCTCCTGAGGACTCAACCCCATGTACCCTCAGGAGACCTGAGAGCTCTCACACAATTTTGCAACCTGCTTCAGTTCATTCTACAATATTGGCAAATAAACCCTAATATCCTGAAAACATGTGGATTTTTTTGGTGTGATTGAAAATGGAAGGGTAGATACGTTTTAGAAATATTTAGCTGAGCTTCTGTGTGAAAAGAAAATAATTGCCAGCTTCATCCTGAAAACATGTGGATTTTTTTTTGTGTGATTCAAAATGGAAGGGTAGATAAGTTTTAGAAATATTTAGCTGAGCTTCAGTGTGAAAAGAAAATAATTGCCAGCTTCAGGGTAAACAGCAAGGGCAGACACCTCACTGTAAAATGTGTTTTTCCCTTTTTGCAAGGCTTGAGCAAAAAAAACATTACACTTGTTTGAAAATATGCAAACCATAAACATCTTAAATATTGAAATCCAAATGTAGCTTTTTGCCAACATAAACAGAGACAACTGATTAGTAAGAGCCATGTGAATTTTGTGTAGTCAGCCAGATATCGAAAGCTGCAAATCCCACATCTGGTGGGGGGAGTTTGCTTTTTTTTTTGTTGGTTTGGGTGGGGTATATTGTTTGGTTTTGGGCTTTTTTAATTAAACAGCAACAAGCCTGACACTAAGAAAACTTAGAGAAACTCTTACCAGATTTACTAGGGGTCCTCCAGAGTTCCCATACTGAAAATAAACATAAGTTAAACACATTTTAGTATTTACCTCCTAATTTTTTGCAAGCAAAATATGAAAGAAATTTTTGCAATATTTCTGTAGTATTGTTTCCGTTGTCTATTAAATCCATGCAACAGAACAGTCTTAAACAGCAAACCCATAAACTATACTTTAACATCACCCATTTTAGCTGAGCTTTGCAAATACTTAAGTTTTTCTTCTCCTGCCAGAGTAAGTTAAGACAGCCAAGGTTTTCCTTTTGTTTTCTTAGTGCCACACTAGAAACTGAGAAGATTTTAAGACAGCTCTGGGAGCTGTTAGTGAAGATTTTTTACAAGGCCAAGATCTGAAGTACAAAAACTATTGTTTTGCCTTAATGCAGAAACAAACTTGAACCCTAAATGAAGCTTGGCTTCTTTTTCAGAAAACAAGCTGGATTTCCAAAAGATATTTATTTGCCAGAGCATACTGCAATCTGCAAGGATTTTGAAGTGAAGGCAGATATTGTGCCTGGTGTGGCTCCTTGGGGGGGTTTCTAAGTAACAACCAAGTGCTGCTGCGGAGCAGATGTCCAGATTTACAGGGAGGGAAATGCTCCCTGCTCCTAAGAACAGCATCCCAGCTGGGAGGAAAAAACCCCCACGGAGGGGTTTCTGCTGGAGAAACATCAGGGCTGAGGGCAGCAGCCCAGAGGGGACGCACATTGATGATGGCATCTGTCTGGATGTAGTCCATGTCGGAGTTGCGCAGCCCCAGCTCCTTCCCGCCGCGCTGCGTGGTGCTGACAATGCCCGTGGTCACCGTGTTCTGCAGGGAAAAGGGACTTCCAATGGCCACCACGAACTCCCCTGGCCTCAGGTCTGCAGACTGACCAAGCAGAAGGACTGGCAATCTACCCTGAAAAAAAAAAAAAAAAAAAAAAAAGAAAATTCAAATGTTAAGACCCTGCTCCGCTGGCAGAACAAATGTTACAGAAGGATGAATACATTTACAGGGTAGAGGAAAAGAGAGAGGCTTTTATCCCTCAGGGATTTGGTTCTGTTTTCTTTGAGTATTTTTTTTGTGTGGGTTGGTACAGAAACATCCAGTGTGGGCTCTTTACACTGGAGAACTTATTCCACAACAGGTACCCATTAAATCAAGAACAATTAAAAGACCAAAGGAATATTTATGCTCTGCTGTACAAAGCAAACATCTGATGATACTAGAAATAAGCCACTTCCAACAGTTCTTGAAATAATTAGCAAACAGCTGCTGAAGTAAAAATATCATATTGTTGGAGAATGAACACTAAAGAATCATGAAAGCAACAGCCCAAGAGTTTTAAGCATGCATGTGTACAGTTAAAAGTATTTTATATTCTCACAAGATACCAGCCAATGATTCATCTTTCTTTCTTTTAATGAAGTATCTCTTGTAAATAATTATATTTCCTCCTACATACAGTGATGTCTTCCTCTGAAGATGTTAGGATTTAAGGACCTGATGTGATTTTTCTGTTATGACAGTAGAGGATACCATTATACTTTCCTTTCAAGATCTTATCTCTAAACATATTAAACATCACATAGTTGAAGACATTCCCACTAAAACATTATTAAAACCCAGCAAACACTGCATTGTACAGCAATTAAAAATAAAAAAGGGGAGGGAAGGTTGTATCCACACTTGCCAATGAATCAAGGGTGTTCTGAAACAGATCATACTTCAAATAAATACTTTTTTTTTTGATTCATCACCTGCCTGTACCATACACATTGAGTGCCATTTCTCCCTTTCTTCACACTTCTAAAAGTCAATCTCTGTGCTTACAGTGATGTGACACGTTTTAAAATATTTTTGTTTTATCTGTTGTCTACATGATCCTGGTCCTCCCCGGGTAATTTAACCATGTATTTAATCATGTCACTAGACTACTTCTATTAGCAGCAATGAACCTGGACACGTATAAGTGCAGGTTTAGACTTAAGGATTTGGAGGATTAGGTTTCTGAACCCAAAAATCAAAACAGAATTCTGGAGGCATTTATCTTTTGCTTGGCAAAGCTAACTTGAACCTAGCTTTCCTCCAGCTTGACCTACTTCAAGTTTTGGCAAAAAGAGAAAATATTGCATGTTTAATTTGGAAGCTCACTGCTGGCTCTGAAGGGGTTTGTTACCAGCAGTTTGAAAGCCTGACTCAATAAGTCATCCATAGGGCCAAAAATTCAGCATTATAAACTAACCCTAATTCCCATCACTTTGTACTTTTCACCTACAGTTTATATCTAATATCCTAAGAGAGTATGCCTGCAAAGTAGAAAGCAAAAAATAATGGCATCAGTTATCTCTATATGCTGCTGCAAATACAGAAGTTATGGTTTTAATGTTTAACAAGACTGGTCTTGTGTATCCTTTATCCAGCTTTGTTCCAATCCCACCAGGGAAGTTTCATTCAGATGAGCAGATTGTTTCAATAAAATTCATTACCAGCTCCCAGACAGGGTAAGATGCTTTATGGAAACTTATCTTTCAGTCTCCAGACAGAAAGAAAATAATTAAACCAACTGCTTGTTCAACAGAGGGAGCTGGAAGAGCAGCAGAACAAGCAGCACAGAAAGCAGAAAGCACTTACATGTCTATTTGCTTTCAGAGGGAAGTTATCACAACCAGCAATGCCCTAGTGATTATTATTAATAATAATGATAAAATACAGCCCTTATCAGTGCCACAGCCACAGATAAACCCAGCTGTGGCTTAGCTCTGGGAAGGATGCAGCAGCTGTGCCCAGTTTCCCCATCACTGCAGAGAAGCAGCAGCAGCATCCCTGCTCCAGGCACAGCCCTGGGGACAGCCCAGGCACAGCCAGGGGAGGTGTCCAGGCCAGGGAATCAGGCAGTTGTGATCAGCTAGCACAAACAGCCCCATCTGGGTCATGTTTGGACACACAGAGCACCCTGGCCCTTCCTCCTCTCACCAGATGCTATTGAGCTTACGTAGCACGTGTTTGCAAGATGTCATTGGTCAAAACCAGCATCTTCTTTTGGCACTGCTTTCCCTTCTTTAAAAAAAAAAAAAAAAACACCCAAAAAACCCAAAAAAACCACCAAAACCCACACAAAAGACAAAAAGTGGCGTTTGTTTATATCCCAGTGCACTGAACACAGATACTTTGCAGAGAAAGAGGATATTTATCAGCAAATGAAACAGAGACAAGCAAAAGAAAACAGAATACTTTTTATGTTTCATTACCAGGAAAAAAAAAAAATAAAGGCTGGTCATGTACAAAGTTAAAATATTTATACAAAGTTCCTGAGTTGTAACAACAGTCACAAAGCCAAAATTGCATCTGGCAGCAGAGGGAAAGTACAGGAACGGCCTGTGACTAATACAATTCTGATTGTGCTGAGTTTTCAGGGCTGTGCCTATACTAGCCAGGCTCCAGTTCAAGCTCTGATGCTGTATGGATTGGCTGCAGGTCACCCCTGTGATTCAACACTCCTTCTGGAAAGTCTGGCTAACCTTTCCCTTGCTAGAAACAAAAATCCATTGCAAAAACCTCCTGGTCCTGCACACATTATGAAACACAGCTTTGGAAAACGTGTCCTCTGTTCCTTGTGATTTCCTGGTGTGGGCAGAACTGACACACGGACAGCACTGCATGTAAATGTGTTAGTGCCCCTACAAAACAATGCCATGAAGAATTGGTTCTATATATTAGAATATATGTGTTGTCATGGCTGTAAATTTGGGGAGTTCTCTAAAATAGCTTAAAACATTGGCACGCTCAGCATTAAATTTTCTATTATAAAAAACCAAAACTCAAGTATTTTTTTTACATTGTGCAAGTGGTTTTGAAATGAAACCAGTATAAAACCTATGAAAATCCCGTGATGGAGTGGGGAAAACATCCTTTTTCAGCCCAGGAGGAGCCCTGGCAATGGCAGGCAGGCAGTGCTGGCAGTGCTATAACCAGGATCGTGTCAGAACACCCTCTCTGTGCCCTCACACCCTGCCACTGGCCAGCTCATCCCCAGGAAGTTAAGGAATCCTGGTAAACTGAGGGTGAGCTCAGGGCTCTTAATAACTGTACTTAATAAATGTGCATTCTTCAATCTTTACATAATGTCTGATGGCCGTCAGGATGACATGAGCACCACTCCAACTCGTGATTCTCCTGCTTTAACTACAGATTTGCCACAGCAGTTAATTAAAAGTGCCAGGCAAAGGACCATGCCTTGCAGCACCAGCAGCAGGGAGCCAGGAACACCCAAACCCAGCTCTCCCAGTGACTCACTGCACGGCCTTGGGCAACACATAATACCTTTTCTACCCCTGTCTTTTCTAACTCCTCCTTTGATGAAGCCTTGGGGCTCTGCTGGATCCATGTTTACTCAATAAAACAAATCTGCAGGCAGGCATTCTGCAAGCCCACAGAAATAGGACTAAACATGCAAAGCCCTAAGTGGCACATGACTCACTGTTTACACCCAGCCAGAGAAGGAGCCATTAATTAGGGTTAATATTTTAAGGCTTTTGCATCCCAAAGGGCTTCAGACATTTTTATATATGGATTTGACTCAAACCCTGGATAAACACAACTCCCACGACATGGAGAGGTGCACACCACCACAAGAAATGGCTCCAGCCACAACAGGACACAGCTATTGTGGCATGAGGAGAGGTAGAGATCAGCATCACCAGCCAGAGGGACTCGGAGAAACATGGAACCATTCAGGTTGGAAAACACCTCTGAGATTATGGAGTCCAAACGCTAACCCAGCACTGCCAAGGCCACCAGTAACCACGTCCCCAGGTGCTGCATCCTGCTTTTAATTCCCTCCAGGAATGGGGATTCCAACACTGCCCTTCTGTGAGGAAATTTGTCCCAATACTGGGGCTCCAGAGCCTTCCCCAGCTCCGTTCTCTTTCCTGGACATGCTCCAGCCCCTCCATGTCCTTCTTGCAGTGAAGGGCCCAAAACAGACCCCAGGATTCAAGGTGCAGGGACAGCACAGATGTTCACCTGGTGTCCTCTAACAGCACAACTTGAGTCAGGTAAAGTAAGTGAAATCTGGACAAAACAGCTAAAAAAGAGGGGGAAGCACAAACCCACCACCAGGCACAGCCACTGCCACGGAGAAATGGAAACCCAGAGACAGACGGCCATAAGCAGGAGGTGTTTTGGTTTGAACTTTTTCATCCATGAAATAAGTGAATGTGTCTCTGTGCTGGCACAGAAAGCAATTAAATCCCTCCTCTGTTCTGTAATCCCCTTCATTTGTGGATGGAAAGTCAGGAATTTGCAGGAAGCACTTTGCAGTTCAATAAACGGATGAAGAGGAGACAAAAGTTCTGAGTTCAGTCTGTGTTAACCAGCGACAGATCTCCTTCATGCTTCTTATTTTTAGGTGGGAAAGGCACAGATGCTGGTGTGGAACACTAATGCAGCTGTTAGTGTAACTCTGGCAAAACATGTAAAACTCTGTCCTGGGAATTGCATTTGTGTTCTGACTAATTCAGCTTTCAGAATACGTTATGGCAAAATAAAAACACCAGTCATGAGCATATAAAAATATAGAATATCATCTACAATCTAGAAACCGCTTGACAGAGAGTCAAAGAAAACAAAAAACTCAGGCTGAACACATTACAAGCCTCCAGAAGTATTTCATCTATAGTTAGAAAAGCAAAACTGAGTCTCCTTATCTAAATATGGAGCATGGGAAGCTTGCAGAAAAAAAAAGAAGAAGAGGATGAAGTGTTGTTTTGATATGTCACCAGGTTTTCAACTGCCTGGCAAGAGATTACTGTTCTCCCTTAAAAATAAAATAAAAATGAAATTACAATAAAATAAAATAAAAATAGTAATAAAAAATATGCTGGTGCTGGCAGACCCACCCTGGAGATGTGAGTGTTTTGCTGCATGGGAAGCTGGAGCAGCACATTGTCCCCACAGTGAGGGCTACTAGAAGCTGAAGACGGCAGGAAACCACTGCTGCCTAAACTGATGAATAAACTGGAGTAAAGATCCAAGCTTTTTACAAGCTATTTCATTCCTATGGGTCCTGAAGGCTTCTGGAAGCAATATGTGGGCTTCCTCAGGCTCTCGAGGGGAAGCAACGTATTACAGATTTCAAAGTGAAATAGCATTTTAGTAAAGCCACTTACATCTGGTGTCCAAGTGGTTTGTTTCTTCAAAATGTGGGCTATTAAAATATTGATGCATAAACAGAGAAGTTTGCTTTCCTGCCTCCTCCAGTTTGTACACACAGGGGAAAATCAAATCCCCTCTGACCACAAAGATACAGACACTCATTGCCTCAGGAAACCACCAGGGGAACGAGGGCAGAAGGTCTTGTTGGTTTAGAAGTGTCAAACAAAGTGTTTATTAACAAGATGCAGGAGAAACCTTAAGCTGAAGGGTTCAGCTGAAGGGCTGAAATGTCACCACAAATTAGAGACGGGTCACAGCCCCACTGCTGCTGCACCATGCAGGTGCCAAATCCTCTCTGGGGAAAAGAACCGGGAACTGGCCACACTGAGGAACAAAAATCTTCAGCACCTGGCCTGTGTTCCCTGTGTGATTTCAGGGTCAGTGTCTCATGGCTGGTTTTTAAGCACGTAGAAAGAAGGAACACCTCAAAACAAAGCCATTCACCCTGCTCCTCCCTTCAGTGCCAAACCACAGGCATCATTTTTGTGGACAGAGCTCGATTTCCAGGGCTGAAAAGGGTCTCCAGGCAAAAGCCACCTCCATCTTCCATTGCTTTGGGCTTTCAGTTTCCATTTGGGTTGGGTTCTTTTATAATTCTGCCCCCACCTTAACCCTGACATTGTCCATTAAACCGGCCTGAAATTTCCTCCCCTCCTGCTGGTGTTTATTTTTCAGCAGCTGTATCACACATTCTGATTTAACAAGGTAGTTATTTGCCTTGAGATGAATTCCACAATGCAGCTCTGCCAGCAAAAAAGCATCTGCTCCCTTTGGAGTGTTGTGCAACAGTTTTGATGGGTTTCACACTCGCTGCAGCATCACACGTGCCACGCAGGACAGATTATTTATTTCACCAGTCCCTGCCTATGCTGCCAAAATCCAACTTTTTCTAGGGAAGTCGTATAAATTTTGCATGCTCATATCCAAATTGTCTGCAACTGCACTGCTCCTTTCTAGTGATGTGGTCTCCTCCTTGCATTTGGAAGGATATTTAGATTGGATTCATGGCTAGCACACTGATTCCAATCTTACTTCCTACTTTCAACACTCCAGCAAACTGCTCTGTGTCACCACAGACATGAGAAACACTGGTGCTCTCTTTTATAGTCTGTAAAAACAAGCACATTTTAGGACTGGCACAACTGCTCCAAGGTTTCTGTTCCTCATTGACTGCAAGATGTTTTTCCATGGAGAAGAATTTAATCAGGGAAACGGTTCATCCTCACTGCTGCCCAGATTTTACCACCCTCTTTCATTTCCTACTGCACTCAGCAAAGCCAAATTACTTCTAGTAATGTCTTTGACCAGATGTTCGAAAACAGCATTCAGGCTGCTGCAAAATCTGAACAGCTGTAGGGATACCAGCTGACAGCCTGAGCCCACACTGCAAGACCAGCTCTGTTCCTAATCACAGAGCATTCTTCACCCTTCAGATCATGCCTTAACATGCCACACATAAAAAAGAAGAAAAAAACCCTTCTGCATCTTTGATGTCACCTTCAAATAATTTATTCCAATTTAGGAACTTTGCCTCTTACTTCAGAAAAATTCTTAGGGATGGTTTTCATGCCATATCCAGATTTTTAAGGGGTTATTTGTACCACCCCATTGACTTCTTTAGCCAGCAAATACATTTCAAATTCATCAAATTATTACCCCAGTGATTTTAAAAAGTCTTTTATGCATCTGAATGACTGCAAGGCATTCCAGTACAAAAAGGAAAGCTCAAACACTGAACTTGAAAGGGTATATAAAAATGCCCCATAAAAGTTCAATTTGAGAATCAATTTCTCAGCTGATGTTTCCATTTTAATTTTTTTTTGTGAACATGTAGAACATTGTTTTTAATTCTCAAATGCAAAGCAACACCTGCCCTGTGAGCAGAGGTGCCTCAGGCCTCACCTTGCACTGGGGTTTCCCAGAGCCACGTTACCAGAGCTGGCTGGAAATCTGGGTCTCACATATCTTTTACATTTCCCCCCAGTCTTCTCAAAATTATCCTGAGCTGCTGGAGGAGGCCAGGAGGAGGGCACCACCCAAGGTACTGCCTTGTACAGCTGATAAGATGCTTCCAAGGGCAGCTCAGACCCTGCCCATCTGAGCTGAGCAGTGGTTTCCACCACATGCCCATCTGGATGAATTATCTTTTTCCCAAGCTGCTTCCAGGTTCCCCCTTCCCACAAGCAGCTTCCCAGGACACCTAGGAGCCATTTCCTCAGGGTATCAAATGCCATTCAAGCCATGGCTGCTCTTTTCCTGAGTCCTCAAACTGACCATCACAGCAGTTCAGTGTCCCCGCTCTGACTGCCACCTCTCTGCTCTGAGTTCAGCTTCCTGCTGCTCCAAGTCCTCTCCTTCTCACCCTGTCTGCTCTCTCCTCCATGTTGTATTTCCAATTTTAAAGCACTTCCCCAGCTGCCCTTCAACCCCTGCCCCATCATAATGCCGCCAGGGCTCATGGTGTGGATATTTCCCTTTGTTTCTTACTGCTTTTTCCTATTTTAAGATAAAAAATGAGAAAACAAGCGATGCCATGAAAACAGAGAAAAAAAACAACATGGCAGAAACATTATTGGTACCATTCATTTTTCTGTCTGGTTGCTGTTCAGAAGCTTTTAAAAAACAAAAAATTTGAAGTTTAAAGGTGGCAAGGGAGCAGCAGGAGCACTCCATACCTCGGGTCATCCAAGAGCTCTGCCTTAGGCGCCTGGCTTAGTCATGAACTCTGGCACAAACACTTCTGACCTCGCTGGGGAATAGCTCTGAACTAAAACAACGCTGCAAGATCTACACATTTCTGAGTCATGCGTTTCAAATGAAGCATTCCTGCCCGTTAAACTTGGAGGTCATCGACTGACAGACCAAAGGAGGGGAGCCAGCGTGAGCAGCACCCCAAGCAGCCGCGTCCAGCTCACTGCAGCTCCATTACACAGCATTTCCACACAATATCCTTCCTGCTACGTGTGCAGAACCTCCTGACAGCTTTTCTGCTGTGGCAGGAGGCACAGTAACGCTGACAGAGGAACATTTGATATGGAGGGACATCACAGATGGGAAGCTGCTCAGAAAACCCTTGCAGTGTGAGAACATCTTTCCAAGCTGGGTTTGATTTCCATGCTCAAGACGCTCCCTAAGGTATTTTCCACTTTAGCATCTACATCAGCGAGGGACAAATGTATCCTCTAAAAGCCATTTGTGACTTCAGTGTAGCCACTTGAGACAGAGTAGCACAAGAAAAACACCCCCATTTCTTCTCTGAGACAGAGTTATACCAGATAAAGCATGTGCAAACCATCCAGCAAACTGGGGTGTTGTTTTTTATTTTGAGGATGCGTAAAAAAGTGCTATGTAAGACTTTCACTACCCCGAGAGGTGACAAAATTACCACTGCCACCCACAAACTTGGCTTCTAAAAACATGTATCCGCCTAGTTCATATATCCTCAACAACCCAGCCCAACAAACAACTTGTTTTTCCTTCACACCTGAAAATCAGCAACAGTTTTTGGAAAGGAGGACGTTCAACTAGAGCAACAAAATGTGTCTTGTTTAATAACTCACCTGAGAATCTATTTTAATTAGTGCAATGTCTGATTTTTCATCAACATCTTTAATTTTGGCTTCGTAAGTCTCCCCGTTCTTCAGCTCCACCTTCACCCTGTTCTTGTTGGTGACCACGTGGGCGTTGGTGACTATCAGCCCATCCTCAGAGACAATGAACCCCGAGCCACTGGCAACAGGAACTTCCCTCTTGGAAAAAGGAAGTCTAAAAGACAAGGGAAAAAAAAAAAACGTTTATTGCTGCAAAAAAGCTGAAAGGTCACAAATCATTCCAAATTACACACAGCCAAAAGGAGTTTGGTGAGTTCTTAATGTTTTAAGATATCTCTTGTTACTCTCATTAAGAAGATAAAGCACATCCATTACTTTAGCTAATTATTTTTCCATGACACTTAAATTATTCCTAATTCTTAAGCATGACAAATATTTATTATCTCAAAACCTCTTTGCTATTTCATACCATCAATCAACATGTCTGCCACACTGGCAGGGGTTTTCAAGAATTAAATTAAAAATTAAAAAAAAAAACAAAAAACAAAAAACAAAAAAACCCAAGACTGGGCATCTTGTTTACTTGCGAAATAATTCAATGTGAACCACAGCAGGAGCGATCTTCTCCACCACATCTGCAATAAAGTTGTATTTGTGCCTCAGGCTGTTCGGATGTTCTTGGCCTGAAATAGAAACAGAGGACGTGTCATGAGTTCTTCAAGTGACTGCAGGAGGGTCATTGCAAAACACCTGAATTAAAAAAAGCTCTGAGTGGGTATCTTTCCCTTCCTTAAAAGTCATCTGCAGCACGACCCTCGGCCCTGGATTTCCTCCCTGCTTCTCTGCACAGAGGTGGAGTGCTTTATCCTCAGGGAAAGTGACCCAGGAAAGCTCCTGGTGTGCAGTGCACCCCACTGGGCTGTGGGGCAGCATGGGCTCGTCCCACTGTGGTGCCCAGGGATGGGGCACAGGAGGAGCACAGGGTTTATTCCCTGTCTGCACCACCCACTCTCCCTCTGTCAGAGGCATTTTGTACTCAGATGCCTCCATCGCTGCCCTCCTTTTCTGGATGGTCTACTTAGCCTGCATGGTCTTCCCAGATTAAACAAACCAGCTCTGTTCCTCTGCCAAAATACGCCTTCTTGGAGGGTTTTGAAGTCTCAGGCTGCTGCTTTTGAAAAATACCGAGGACACAGAGGTCCTGACCCCAGAGCGAGCCCTCAGCAGCTGCTGAGAAAGTTTAACTTGGGTACAAAGTTGGGCTTCCTTTCCCACCAGTGTCCCCACACAGCCTGGCCCAGCAGCCCCTGCCTGGCACCTGGATGTGGAAGAACCTTCCACACACTCACACAGCCCCACTCCAGGCATCCTTCCCACCCGTGCCCCCTGAGGTCCATCAGCTGCACCCAGGGGTGGATCCCACCCTGCTTTGGAGCCACTGAGCCACCCCCAGGGCCATCGAATAGATGTGAGAACACCATGGGACCACTAAGCTCCGCATGCCTGGGCAGTGCTGCAACAGAAGCTCATGGGCACTGAGCATTCCGCAGGGGCCAGTGGGGTTTTCAAAAGCCACTGGATACCCAACTCCCATTGTGGCCAACAGAAAACCTGTCTGCACCAAGAGAAGTTTGAAAATTTCTGGGAAAAACTCACAATTCTGTCACAGCTTCTCCTTCTCAAGCCGTTCAGGGGCAAAGCATTGCTTTTTAAAACTGGGAGCAGCTATGCAAATTGGGTTATTTTATATTCCTCCAGAGGAGAGAAACACCCTTTGTTTTCATTTCAGTTTTATCTGGTGCATCCATCTCCTGTTATACAGGCACAAGCCAAGCCTGCAACAGACTTTCAGAGGAGTATTAATGGGTTGTGCTGCTCCCATCCATCTTTGCCATTTGGCTTCTAAATCCATGCAGAGATTAAAGCAATAAGCAGCTTGTGGATGCTGTAAGTGCCTTTGACGGTGTAAGAGGACAATTTATTTGCAGAATCATAGCAGGACTATCCCATAAAACCATCCCAATACCAGAACCCCAAATGCCCTTTGCTATTGGAAAAACCAGAGAGGAAAACCATGCAAATCTTTAAGTATACACTGGAGGCAATAATGATTTGGGAACAAGATGCCCCTGGCTTTTAACACTAACCAGACACTGCTTTGGGTGAACACATTCCAGGTGACTTCCCAATGCCAACAGCACACACTGTCCCTCAGGAGAGCGCTGCACGCTCCACCCTAACGCCATCTGTCACTCAAGAACAGGTTTTTTTCTTATTTATACCCTGTGAGACATCCCAGGGGCTTTTAAAGGCAGCCAGTCACAAGCAGCAGCTGCAGCAGTAACCACAAAATCCGCTGTGCTGTTTCAAAAATGCTTATCTGCTTTAGGGAGCAGCAACATCGACCAGGAAACTTTTCTCCTCACCTCAGTTTTCTTTAAGAGTACTCAGTGCTTTCTGATTTACACATGAGCTGTTGCCCTTGGGCTTTCACCCCACAGAGGCATAAGGGCTTGCTATTGAGAAATATCAATTTACCAAACGATTTATATTCCCTACTAGAAATATTCCGTATTAAACGAGTCATGTCATTGCTGTAAAGCTGACAAATATAACAAGGAGAGTTTTGGGAGACTGCTACAATAAGAAACGCAGTTTGGAATTATCCACTTGCATTAAATAGGTGCTTGGACAGATTATCAGATGGGATTAAGGTGGTGCTGGGCTAAAACTCCACAGGGCACTGCTGCAGCCATGGATATGCTTTTTGATCAGTGCTTATAAAATGATTTCATCTCAGCTGCAATGCTGTAGACATCCAAAGGTCACATCCTGCCCTTGGGAAAAAAAAAAAAACCTCCACGGATGAGGGAACTACAGAGGCAAAGCACAGCTTTTTTTCATGCATTCAATCTTTTTTGCTTTTAGCTATTGAAGAAGAAAAAAGGATGCCCAGGCTGTACATGGTGAGACTGCTAATACCTCACCTCAGAGCTGCCTTCCCTTGGAACTGGAGCCTACAAAAGCCAGGATTTCAGAGGCAACAGTATTTTGTCCATGATCCACCCCCTCATGCAGTCCCAAACTAAACTGCAGAACGAAAAAAAAAAAAAAAAGTTCAGAATTTCCTACTTTTGAAAAAGTTAGATAATAAATACTAACTCATGGCATACTGACCCAAAAAGCTCCCAGCAGCTGGCCACGCCTGCCTATTGCTTATGTATTAGGAATTCCTGCATTGTGTAACACAGTTTTGCAACTGCTCTTGAACCACTGCCCATTTAAATGGAAAACATACCTTTTAAAGCAAAAAAACAACAGTCAAAGCACTGATCTTGATGGATTCATCCATGCATGTTAAATGTTAAAATTCCTGTAAACTGGTCTTTATCATCAACATGAAATCTGAAGGCTGTAGTAAAAGTATTGATGCATTGAAAATTATTTTATCACTGAGATAAAGAATATTGGAGGGAAAAAAAAAAAAAAAAAAAGCTGATTTCTCTTTGGGATTACTGAGCTGCACAGATCTTTCCTATAAGAAACCACCTCTGTGTGAAATGTTATCTAACATTTGAACCTAGGCACAAAGGACCACGTGGAAGTTTAAATGGCCATAAAAACACCAACATTACAAATTTAATATGGGCAGGTGCTCATTCCTCAACCACCACAGGGCAGTTTCCAGCCACTGCAGAAGACAGCAGTGAAACTGAGAACTTCACCAGGTATACTTTTTCCTCTGACACATCTATTTTCCAGCTGTACCAATAGCTCAGGGCCTTTTAGTAACAAATATATGTTTTTGGTTTTGGTTTGGGGGGATTTTTTTTTGTGGGGGTGGTGTTGTTTTGGTTTGCTTCTAAATCATTGAAAGCTGGGCTTGAATAAAGCTCTAGTTCCTAAATACCTTCAGGCTCTGATGTTCAAATCTTCCCAGACTGCTCCTCTTTCTATTTATATGCTGTGATTATTGTGTTTTGTAATGTTTTCATTGAACTATTGCACAATGCCCTAAATGCCCACAAGCACGGCTAAGAAACCTTTATTAATTACATTATAAAGTTGATTGTTGTGAATTCAGTTAATGACAAAAAAAGAAAAAATAGGTTATAGCATGAAAAATTCCCAAGGCAACTAATTCTTCAAGGACTTCAAAGGTGTGCTGGCTGCCAGCCCTGAAATGAGAAGGCAAATCTCTGCCAACTGGCATTAACAGGGCTAATAATCAGTAAACAGACTGCTAGGAGAGCAAGACAGAGTACCAAGCCACGAAAAAAAGTACACCCAGCTGTAAACAACTGAAGTAATTTGGTTTCATAAAGAGGAGCCAAAAAGCAAATTAAGATCTGGGTTCTGGTTAGGTCATTACTCAAAGTGGCATCGATGCAATGATGCTCACAGCTCACACATGCTGCTTTTGGTGGTTATTTTGAGCTGAGCTGAAGAGATGCTTTTGGAGATAGAAATTTCACCAAAGGAACCTCTCCCCTTCTGCTGGGAGAGCTGCCTGCTGCTCTGGAAGGGCTGCTCTTGGCACACAGAAGAGAGCAGGTCCCCCAACAAAGCTTTGGGCACATCTCAGTCAGACATGGGACTTTTCCCCACCCAGTTTTCACCCCTTTTCAAAAAGGGGGTTCAGCTCTCCTTCCCACTGACTGAAGGAGGGAGCAAAGTAATTATCCCATTTAATGGGACTTTTTGTCTTAGACATGGTGAAAGGGGGAAAAGGCACATCCCAGCAGCTCTCTGTGCCACCCTCACCGAAGAGCTGCAGCTTCTGGGGTAACTAAAGATGTTAAACTACCCAGGCTGCTGGAAATAGGTGAGATGATTTCCTCCTGCACTCAACCACTTGTTTAGGCACACACAAGGGTTTGAAGGCATGGCTTGGGCTTGGGATTCTCTGCAGAACGAAACCAAAAGAGCTGCAGCACTCACGAAACCTCTGGGCTGCCAGAACCGGTGACTACTGACACAAACCACAAACCAAGTTTTGCTTGGAGAACTTCCACCCTCCCAAATAAAACTCCAGCCGCTGGTGTTTGTACAAACTTCCATTCATGCCATAAAAACCTCTGAACCTCTGACTATGGAGACAAAAAAACTCCAGCAAAGGTGCTCAGCTCACTGCAAACAGGGGGATCAGCAAGCCCTGCTGGAGAGAGACAAGGAAAAAGTGTGGGAATCTGCTGGCACACTTTCTTTTTTTAAATTACAGAAAGCTGCAAGCCTAAATATTCCACTTCCTATTCAAGGATAAGTTGTGTAATTCACCAAAAAAAGGGTATTACGCAATGAAAACACTAAGAAAATAAGGAACAACACTCTACGTGTCACAGGCAATTTGCTCAAGAGCAACTCTTAGGTCATTGGAGTGAATTTTGAGAGGTCTAAACCACAGCACCTTGTTAATACAGATCCTATTGCATCAGTTATTTTTCCCCCTGTATAATCCATGCAGAAGCTCAAGACACCTCACAAATTTCTGGGAGGAAAGTCTGCATTACTGTGACGTCCCTAAAAGCAAAAATACTTTCATAGCCCTAAATAATGGTAGAATAAAATGCTTGAAATCTCTCCAAACAGTAAACTGCACAAATCTGGTCTTCATGTAAAATATTTCCTGCAGCAAGAACCACTGCAAGATTAAAGTGAGGATTTTAAGTGAAATTGCTATTTG